CTCTCATTTTGTCTTATTGACTGTGTCCTTTACTCTACAAAAGCTTCTCAGTTTCAGGAGGTCGCATTTGTTAATTGTAGCTCTTAGTGTATGTGCTACTGGTATTATATTTAGGAAGTGGTCTCCTGTGCCAATGTGTTCTAGACTACTTCCTACATTCTCTTCTATCAAGTTCAGTGTACTGGATTTATGTTGAGTTCTTTAATCCACTTGGACTTGAGTTTTTTTCATGGTGACAGACGTGTATCTATTTGCAATCTTCTGTATGTTGACATTGAGTTATGCCAGCACCATTTGTGGAAGATGCTTTCTTTTTTCCATGGTACAGTTTTGGCTTCTTAGTTGAAAATCATATGTTCATAGGTGTGTGGATTAATGTCAGGGTCTTCAATTCGATTCCATTGGTGCACATGTTGGTTTTATGTCAGTACCAAGCTGTTTTTATTACTATGGCTCTATAGTAGAGCTTGAAGTCGGGGATCATGATGCCTCCAGAGGTTTCTTTATTATACAGAATTCTTTTAGCTACCAGACTCTGTAACCCAAGCCACACCTCCCCCAAATCCCACCCACCCTCTGAGACTGCAACTGTTCCCTGAGACAGAGCCTACCAGCATCCAACTGGACTAAGAAGTGAATCTTTATCCTCATAATTGAACACTCCAGCCCTTAGGCTTTGGGCCAAGGAGCACAACCCTGTGCCTCTACACCACAACCCATTTTAGTTCCAGTTTCAGGCCTTTTGGAGGGCAGACCTCCTGCACAAAGGACAGACCACCACCATCCCACATCAGTCCATGTATCTGAAGCCACACCTCCCCCAAATCCCAACCACCCTTCAAGACTGTAACTGTTCCCTGAGAAAGAGCCTGCCAGCACCCAACTGGACTAAGAGGCCAGCTGGTAGGAAGACTTCCTGCAGACAGGTCAGATTACCACCATCTACCACATGCTAAGACTGCAGCTACTCCCTGAGACGGAGCCCACTTTCGCCAGTTGGACTAAGAGCTGCTCCCTAAGACAAAAATCTATCACCATCGACTTGACCAAGAACTTCCACTAGATCAAGAGTATCAATCAAACCAAGAGAGGCTCCCTCAGACACAGACACCACTTGCATCTAGTGGAGAAAGAGATGGGTAGACGCCAGTGCAAAAAATAAAGTCAACAACATAAAAAACAATATGGCTCCATCAGAACCTACATCAGCAAGACCTGAACATCCCAACACAGAAGAAACAGAAGATATCTACCATGAAAATGACTTTAAGAAGATATTAGAGATCTTAAAAGAGGAAATGAAAAAGTCCCTTAAAGAAATCAAGGAAAAATCAAACAAAAAATGGGAAGAAAGCAGTAAATCCCTTGAAAGCCAAGAGAAAGCAATTAAACAAGTGAGGTAAACAGTTCAAGATTTCAAAACTGAAATGGAGTCAATAAAGAAGACACAAACTGAGGTAATGCTGGAAGTGGAAAATCTGAGTAAACAAACAGGAACTACAGATGCAAGTATAACCAACAGAATGCAAGAGATGGAAGGGCAGATCTCTGGCATTGAAGACACGGTAGAGGAAATAGATTCATCAGTCAAATAAAACACTAAAGCCAACAAAGTCATGACCCAAAATGTCCAGGAAATTTGGGACACCATGAAAAGACCAAACCTAAGAATAGTAGGGGTAGAAGAAGGAGAAGAATACCAACTCAAGGGCACAGAAAATATGTTCAACAAAATCATAGAAGAAACAGTCTTTTAAATCAATAACTACAAGAGGCCATCCTTTTGGTAACAGAGTAGGCAAAGGAATTCCAGATTGTAGAGAGCCCATTGGCTGAATTACTTTGTTAATTGCTCTAACGTCTGTTACCATTCTCCATTTACCAGATTTCTTTTTAATAACAAATAAAGGAAAATTCCAAGGGCTGGTTGATTCTTCAATATGCTGAGCATTTAACTGTTCTTCTACCAGCTCTTCTAAAGCCTGGAGTTTCTCTGTTGTTAAAGGCCATTAATGAACCCATACCGGCTTGTCTGTTAACCATTTTAAAGGTAGAGCTGTTGGTGTCTTTGGAAGATCATCAATTGTTGTGCCCTGTTCTTGTATAATATGGATGGCTAGTGACTACTCATTAGAATAATACCTTCTAATATTTCTCTCAGAAACATGTGCTAGTTTATGATTTGTTTCTGAGGTTGGAGGGATGTTAATCTAAGTATTCCATTGTTGCAACAGGTCTCAAACCCACAGGTTCATAGCTCTGTTAGCAACATACAGTTTTAATTTTCCTCTCTGTCCTTCTGGACCTATACATTCAAGCTATCTCCCACTCTGTTTCACTTGAGATAATGTTCCAATTCCTGACAGTTGAATGTATACTTCCTGAAGAGGCCAAGTTGGATGTCAAAATTCTGGTGCAATTATGGACACGTCAGCACAAGTGTCTACCAGACCAGACCCCCCCCAAAAAAAACATTTATTCTTATTGTTAATTTTGGTCTTTGTTCATTTATAGAATTTGCCAAAATTTTTTCTTTATGTTTTCTCCTGAATTTTCTGTTCACTCTTTCTCAGCTGTTTCATCACCCCAATCAGCCTGGCTTATTCCAATAGGCATTTGTTTATTTAATTGCTCTGAGTAGGGGTTTCCTCCATGACTGAAGCAAAGGTCTGCACTGAATTTGCTGTGGGGGCCTGCCTTAGGCCCCTCTGGGAGTTTCCTGAAGACCAAGGCAAAGGATTTTCTTGCCTGTCCCTTGTTGATCTACATTCAATGGTCCAGTGTTTTCCCTTACCATACCTTCTGCATATTCCATAAGGAAGGGGCATTCTCTTGCCATTGTTCCTTGAAGAAACATTGTTTCTAGGAATGCTCTGTTTACAGTCCCTTTTCAAATGTCCTTGCTTTCCACATCCAAAACATCTGACATTCCCCAAACCTCTTGAAATTGCTTCTCCTATCCACATATCATCATGGTCATGAGCCTCAACATTAACAGTGTCTCTAATCCAATCTTCCAAGGGTGCAGATCTTGCCTTTAATGGCCTGATTATTCTCTTGCATGCTGCATTCACATTCTCAAAAGCCAAAGATTCTATTATTATCTTGCTAGTTTCTGAATTCTGGACCATTCTCTTTACTGCTAAAGTCAGTCTTTGTAAGAAAACTATAAAGGATTCTTTTGGGCCCTGTATAACCTTTGTAAATGACTCAGTTTTCTTTCCTGGTTCCTCAACTCTGTCCCATGCATTCAAGGCTGCCACTTGACATAGAATTAGGGGTTGGATATCATATAAACATTGTGTTTGTATTGCAGCATATTGGCCTTTTCCAACAAGCTGATCCTGGGAGATTTGTATACCGTTAGCTCTCCATTGGTTTTCTATGTTATTAGCTTCCTCTTTGAACCACATTTACCACTGCTGCTGTGCCCTGGGTTCCAGAACAGCATTTACCAGCTGTTGCCAGTCCTGGGGTATATTCTTATTGTATGTTGACCAGGAGTTTAACATTTGCTTTACAAATGGGGAATGCATGACATAAGATACTATTGCCTCCTTAAACCTTTGTAAATCTAACATTTCAATTGGAGTCCAAATATTTTGTGCTTTCACTTGACCAGGTATTCCTGAACAGTTACAGATGAATTAAAGTTGATTGTGTGAAAACAGGCCTTCTTTCTGTAACCTTATAATCCAATCCTGAAAAAAATTAACTTTTAATTTCTTCTGTCTGAATCTGAATTTCTCTATAATTCATTTTAACAGGTTTAATAGGTTTTTCTAAAGTTTTTATCCTGGCCCTTAAATTGACTATCTTTTTAAATAGCAAAATAAGGATAAGGAAAGTAATAATGTGCATAATCCCATCAACATTAATGTTCTCATATAGTTGTTACATTTTCAGATTGCCTAAAATTTTATCAAAGCCCAATTTTCTTCCAATTATACATGATACCCGTTTTTTTAATGTGGAAAATTTTTTCTCTTTTACATAGTTTTTTTTCTTTAAAATATCTGTTATATTTATTCACTTACCAAGTCTGTGTAGAACAGTAGAAATTTGGAGGAATTTCAAAATAGGTACCTAGTGTCCAAGGTGGGAATCTAATGAGAGAGGGAGAGAGAGAGAGAGAGAGAGAGAGAGAGAGAGAGAGAGAGAGAGAGAGATTTCCACTTACTGACACTTATTAAATAATAAAAATTGGTTCACTGGAAAATAAAAGGATTTTAGTATCTAGTCATATTTGATTACAGGCAGGACTGATTTTTAATATCCATGTTAAGTTAGGAAAGCATTAGACTTGCCCGAAAAATGTGTCCTCTGTTCACTTAAGATAAAAATCAAAAGTCAAAGTGTGTATAATTCAGTGGTATGGTGTTGCTATTACTTTAGCAATTTTTGAAAAATTGAAGGAGTCAGTCTGAAATTCTTAAGACAGCTTTTTCCCATAACAGCTTTTAAAACTTGAAGTTTATCCTCCAATAATCTAAATGTAGTGATCTCTCTAAAATATGAGAAAGGAAACTTTGAAATAGCACTGTTAATTTAAATTTTCCATGAATCAAGTATGACACATCATGTCTGCAATTTACGAACTTGAGAACCTGAGGCATGAAGTTTGCAAAGGTGTTTGAGGCCACTGAGACCTATTGGTGAGTGGCAGGCCTGTCAGATAACAAACTGAGACACTGTATGAAAGAGTAAACACTGAATATTAACTAGAAATAAATTTTCATGGAGAAAAACTATTTGAGGACATTTTGTTAGAATTATTCACATTTTTAGGTAATAGTGTTCTCCGAGTAACATTCAGATGGCCTACAATGTAATCTGACTTTGTAGCATATATCAGTTCATTGGAGAATTGATAACTTTCCAAGTAGCCATAATTGTTGTAGATCCATGTACAGCCTATGTACACCTATGGGTGGCTGAAGTATTACTATGAATGTGCACACTCACATTGCTTTTGTTCATAGAGGAAACTCCCAGATCCTCTACTTACATTGGGTTCTGTAGGAACCATCTGCTTGCTTATAACCAATGACTTCAGTCTTTGAGCATTGACCATTTGAACTAAAAATCAAACAGATAATATATGGTTTATTCTTTATAAACTTGGAATTCATATTACAGACTTTCACATGTTATAATGAACTTGAGGGAGTAATAGTATCTATGAACAGTGTACAGAGCTTGGAATGAAGTGTCTATGCTTACCTTATTATTCCTAATTCTTCTTTAGAAAATATCATTCTGTTTGCAATCATACAGATGACTTCCTTATTTGTGCCAGTTTTGGCAAGGGCTCTGTAGACTCTTATGCCTTCCTTATCCAAACTACACTATTCACAGCATATGATTTTAATTATGCTAATCCTCTTGTTCTTGTCCAGAGATAATATGGACACAAGTTTATATGCATGTGTTTTAAGTGCTTTTATTTGCAACCTAAAACTTACAGTTGTGGCTATAAGAGAGAAATGGTCTAAGCATTTTAGTCCTTATGGTGTTATGCAGTTTTTCATTGAACACAGACATCCAAATGCCAGAGATAGAGTCTTTGAACCTAAAGCTTCAGAGAAAGGGATTCATGAGTTAGATTTATCTGACCTGTTTGTGGAGGACTTTTCTCTGACATCATTGTTTGGATAAGATAATATATATGGCTTTGACACAAATGCTCACACATACATTTTGACTTACTAGAAATGAGAAACTTAGAGTTTCATGCATCTAATATTAGAGAATAAAATTCAACCACAAGCCTCCAACCACAAGAATTTCTAAGGAAAAACTCACGGAATTGGAGACAGTGTGTAATCTCTGTGTGGTGTCCAGAGATACCCCATCATGGAATAATATAATCACATTGCTAAAGATGTGATTTCATGACCAAAAACAGAGCATTCTCCTATAAATTTAACATAAAGGCTGAGAAACATAAGTAGTCTGCTCAGTTTACATGGCTGACCATTTGCTTACTTGACATAAAATGTGACTGCCAATTCACTACATTCCTCATTGCAAGTAAGTTTACGAACATAGAGTCTCAGAGGTCTTTCCAGTTCTATCTTGTCAACATTGTCAGCAGCAATGGCAATTGTTACCCATTCTCCTTCCATCTAAAAAAACAAAAAGATAAATAAAGGAGAAAAATGAAACAGGTCATTAAAAAATGAGTTCGTATTCTCATCTCTGATCCCAGTCTTTGGAAATAAGTAAAGTAACTAGAACTATCTATCAATCAATAATATTTTATTTATTAGTTCAAGATTTTGTATTTATGGCTGTATAATAACACAGAGTAGTATGATGACTCGATTAACACAGCATTTTGGACCTGAGACTTTGCAGAACTGTTCATACTTTGGCCTCTTACACTCTGCAAAATCAACCCATATTTACCTTATTTTGATTGTTTTATCCTAGAGAAATAAGATTGGAAAAGTGTACCTGAGTAAAAGTCAGAAAGAGTATTTCATGAATATGGACTTGCATGGACTAGCTGAATGATGCAGCATGTCCATAGAAATATGGTGTTGAGGAACCACAGACATATGCACCGACCAAATGAATTTACCTGATCATGAGCATGAGCCAGTCCAAATGCTAAAGCCAGCAGCAGAAACTTTACCATGGTGGCACCTGTCTTTGGTCTTCTGCAGAAGCTCAAAATAGGTCAATGGATGTGAAGGAATTGAACTGACAAAGCTTTTAAGACAGCTAGTTAGAGGGAGTTGCATGGAATCAACCAGTGGTTCTGCACCACAATAACCTACATGTGTCCGGTATTTCCTCTTTGGCCCTGCTGAATGATTTATGATATCATATCCCTAAACTAGTAAGATTAGCCTTAAGGTCAGGTTATGTTGGAATGATTAATTGAGCATCCTGTCAGAAAGAAAGGACTATCCCTGTGAGAACATTAAGGAATGATTTTGCCTCCAGAACTATACTGGTGGGTAAAGGTCACAATGCATATATATATATATATATGTCTTATATGATTCATTTAACCAAAATGACATGCATTTTAAAATACATTCTGAATCTAAGCATAATACTGTGCAGTTAACTGAATTTAAAACTGTGGCCTGAGATATATGAGCCAAAGTAACCACACTCTTAGAAGACAAGTTTTTAAAACATTTGGAGGATTTCTTATGAGGATGTTGATATGTCTTGTGCTACTTTTAAGTCTTTCCATACATTGACTACTATAGCCTCCCAGTACAATAAAGTCAACTACTATGGTACAGAGCTACAAGAGCTATCATCAAAGCTTAACTGTGTGAATAATAGGAAAAATGCTGCTAGATGTCCACTGGTAATAAAGACAAGTATCACTGATTAAAATAAACACAATCAAGTGAATCAGCCTATAATGTCCTCAGAGAAATTTTATAATTGTGCAAAGGAGCTCTTCATTCAAGCTGAAAATAATGCTTTACATTTCCTAAAGCGAGGACCCTGCCCACACAGTTGACTTCTTTACACATCAAAACCAAGGTCTGTGTTGTGCTTAGCCATAGGATCTTGTCATCCATTTCTAGAAACCACCAAGAAGAATATCAGGACTTTGCCATTCTTGTTTATCCTCAGGGCTTCTCTCTCTAGCACATCAAATAACCTCGAGTTAGCACTTTGGTAAATTTGTTTGACAACCCACGGTTTCTGACTACACCACTACAAAGAGTTAGTCTGTAATTTATGACACTTTCTTTAGATTATATCCTGTTATTGTCTCTATTTCTTTCAGTTTTTGAGATTATTCCATAATAACATCATTCTGCACTCCCCTTTCTCCCCTCTAAACTCTCCAATATGTACCTCCTTCATCTATTTCAAATTTGTGGACTCTTTCTTCACTAAATGTTGTTACATGCATATGAGTTTGAATGGTCACATTTGAGTCCTAACTTTTATCTGAAGATTTCGAGATAGGAATAATAGAAGAGACCTAACATGCCACATTTGTCTTTTTAGATCTGGGTTACCTCAACCAGTAGGATCTTTTATAGTTCCTGCGATTTAGCTGCAAATGTCATGAATTCATTTTCCTTTACCATGGAATATTATCACATAGTGTATAACTACCATTTTTTCAGTATTCATTAGACAGTTTAAGAACATTAATGTTGTTTCCATTTCCTGGCTGTTGTGAATAGAGTAGCAATGAACATGGATTATATCTGTGAAACAGAGTATCCAGTCATGTAGGCATATTCCAAGGAGCTATATAACTGAGTCACATGGTACATATTTACTTTGAGAAAATTAAGAATTCTCCACACTGCTTTCCAGAATTGGATACAATTTTGTGATATCAACAACAAAGGATGTCTCTGGCCTTGTTGTTCTTTCTCCCTCCCTCCCTCCCTCCCCCCCTCTCTCTCCCTCCTCACTTTGCTCTCTCTCCATCTTATGTTGATTGTGATTGTCTCTGTGTGTGTGTGTGGACAAGAGTGTGTATCTGTGTGTTTGTCTGTGTGTCTATGTCTGTGTGTGTATGTTTATTTCTCAAATGACTCTCTCACTGTCCCAGACCCATTTTGACTGGACTGTCTCTGTTCTTATATGTTGTGTTTTAAATTTGTCAGATTTACAGGGTATTCATTCACAGCTGGCATGTTTGCTTATGCTAGACATAAACTAGCCTTTTTCTGACTTCTGAAGATTATGGAAGAAGACCTGGCTTATGGAGTTGTTCACTTCATTTCTAACCATTGTGTTTTAAAAGAAACATGAATTATTTTAAAAATGTACTGAAGCATACAATGTTGAATTAACCATGAGAGTCTGAAAAGTAAATATTATTTATTTTCAGTTGAGTGACAAGTCTCCTCAGAGTCCCCAAAGTCAACAGTTCCCTGTGGTTTTGGCTTCATGTTGAACCCTAGGCAATTTGCCTCATCTGTTCAGGTTGAAGTTAAATCAGGATAGTTTTTAAATATTTCCTTTTCCGTCATCTTAATCTTCTTCTGGCATTAATATGCCAGGAAATTCCTTGTGTCATTGTTTGAGTATAAGCATATGTACAAACTTAGTTTAGGATTTGGTTTTCTGAAAAGCTTTATGGAACATTAATCAAATTCATTCATTTCAGTTCCCTTGTTTCTGTCTATACTCAAAAAACAATCACATTAGTTCATCAAGTTTTCACAATTTTTAATGTGACAACAATCAATTTTAAAAGAAGTCCTGAATAATGTCAAAGACAAGAGGGGAATATGAGCTGGTTGAGAAGGGGGAAAGGTATGGATCAAATGATGTGATTATAATATAATATCTTAAAATGGAAGAAATGAAAGTATTTCACAATTTTAAATTAATATCTGTTATAAATATAATCCTATGGTTATTTTGAACAGTCTGAAATTTATTTTTATTTCTTTCACATTCCCTGATTTTTATTTTATATTAATCTTATGAGTGACAAGCCTTCAGGGCTTATTTTGATGTTGTATTCAGGATTCAGCCAAGAGTAGTAACTAGGCATTCCATGGTCACACAGTAAAAGCACCCAGGATATTTACACATGAGGTCTTTATCTAAGGACATGTTGCATTCTCAGAGCCTTCTCTCACTCTGATGACAGACGTTATACTAAGGTTTTGGCTAGAAGGAGAAAACCCCAGGCAGTAGCATTCATGGAATACACAACTTTATACACATGAAGCTATTGCCCTCTTTCTTGCATGTTTTATTTGTAGGTTCACACACACATGCCACACTGAAAACAATGTACTGCTCTATACTTTCTTCTTGTCTCTCTATTTTCTCTTTTCTCAAAATAAATTTGGCAGACACAACTTCCTGATCCACAGCTTTGAGGAAAGGATGCAGTTGGGAGTGACTCAATTGAAATTCTGTATGTATGGAACTACCTTAAACAATCTTCAAGACACGTAATGAAAATAAGAGTAAATGGTCCTCAGCAAAGAGAAAAATGACATAGTAAATATAGAGAAGATGCAAATGAATCATAGTCAAGTGACATATGGTCCTGACTGTAAAATATATGAAGTTCAATGCTCTTTTGTAATAGAAAGAAAATCCCAACTCAAATGTCAAATATTTAACTGTGTTCTTTACATATCAGGTGCTATGTTGATGCATTTTCTTGTTTTCAGTAGCCTTCAACTTACATCATTTCCCTCTTCTTTTCCTTCCTCAAGCCCCTTCCATATTCCTTACCTTCACCATCTCTTGTGCACCACCCACTCACCTTTATAGCCCTTTACTTGGATTATTATTGATGCATACATATATATATATATATATATATATATACATAGACATGTATGGGTGTGCACATGCACACAACCTGATGAATGACATTTTATTCCTTGAGTATATATGATTTCTGGGCTGACTATTCTGCAATGAACAACCAATTACAGTGCCCTTCTTACCAGGGAGAGGTTAATTCTCCTTCTTCCCACACTCATTATATTTTTGTGGTCATCATCCAGGGCTGGGTTTCTACATAGATTTCCCCTTCCATTTTAATATTGCCACTGATACAGACATCTCCCCCGTCTTGTTAATCATATAATTTCTAGCCAAGAAAGTTTCACAAAAGAATTCTTGGTATTCTGGCTTTTAGGATCTTTCCACTTTCTCTTCTGAGACAAGGTCCCTTGTTCTTAGATGCAAAAGCTGAGATGTAAACTGGTCTTTTGGAACATGGCCCCTACAATTTATTGTTCTCTACCTTGTGTCCAGTTGTGAATTTCTGTGATGGTTTCCATTTGCTATAAAGAAAAGTCTTTTTTTCAGTAGGGAGTTCTACCTACACTTCTTTCTGGTTATAAAGATAAAATTTAGACTATAGAAAGGAGTTGTGCTGGTCTAGCAAAGTTGCAGTAGTAGATGCTTTTCTAAAATCCATGACCTCACTAACCCTGAGCATTTGACAAGCTTTCCGGTACCAGGAATGATTTCCCTCCAGCTGAGTGGTCCTTGAGTCCTATCAGACAACTCTCGGTTGCCACCCACACGTTAGTGTCACTTCTTGTACCTTTTTGCTCATCTTGCAATGTCATTCTTCACAGGTGCCTCATCTGGGTAGGGTTGTTTGTTTCCCTCCCTTAACATCCTGAAAAGTATTTTCTGGAACAAAAATTTGGGATCATGGATCCAGTTAGAATTGTCTGAGTCCTGTGTCCTAACTATATAGTATAGTTAGCCAAAGGGGTTCACCTACAATGTCCAAGATGCAACAAAGCTAAGAATAGAAAATTTGGAATTAAAGACGTGTTCCTGGTCTACAAAGTGAATTCTAGGAAAGGCACAAAGCTATACAGAGAAACCCTGTCTTGAAAAACCATTAAAAAAGAATAGAAAATTTGTATTGTTTTGGCAGTACATTGTCAACCTGACAAATCATTCAAACGAGTTTTATCATCCTTGATATTATCTACTTGTTAGGCAATCATTCATGTGGGAAGTTTATCAGCCCAAGTGGCTTAGCTTCTTTGAAGATACAATTTTTTATGCACATGTATATGTATATATGTACATTCCTATGTTTAAGTAAATGTAAAATATGAATACAAAATAAAATTTTTAAATGAATTTAAAAATGATCCCATGAGGATTCATCAAATGTCTTTGTTCTCATTTCACCACTGC